GAGACTCCAACTCAAAAAAAAAAAAAAATACTAATACTAGGGCTCATTTTCACAGATTTACCTGCTCTTTGAAAATCCGATATTAACTCTTTGTGTTCGGAGAGGTCTTGCGGTTCACCTACCAGTGACTCAATCGTACTTTTTTACAATTGAAAAACAAATCACTTCCTATTAAATAGTATGGCATTGGAACCAATTATTATATTGTAATGCTATTTGGCTTATAATAGAATTTTAGACATTGAGGAACTTATGACAAAATAATCAAAATTTTATGTCTTATATTTTTCAAATATGTGATAACATGTGAAACACTCACTAGCATGCATTGCAGATTCATTGATACACGTTGTGCATAGTAATTTTCTTGACATTTTCCACCTGGTGTTTTTCTATTCGAGCAGACAATGTTGTCTTGTTTTCTTCCTCCCACATTAATAGCATGTAATTTATTGTTCAGTTTGTTGTTTGAAGATGTGGAAGAACACACTTATGATTCCTGAAAACCACTTTTCAACTGATCAGTTATAGCTCAGTATATATTTCATCTCCTTATTTGCTTTTTTTTTTTTGCAATTTGAATGGAAAACTTCAAGGAAACATACATTTTTTAAAAATTTGCACTTACTTAAGTTTGTCCTGTAGAATTACCAGCAATCTCTTTATGTCCCGAGAGGGGTCATCAGAGTGGTTTGCTAGATTTACGATGTCCCCTCAGAGAGAACATCCAAGTGCAAAGGGTTAAGTAAGATAGGAAATATGGCCCAGTGCAGTGACTCACGCCTGCAATCCCAAGCAGAGGCAAGAGGATTGCCTGAGCCCAGGGGTTTGAAACCAGTCTGGGCAACTTGGTGAGACCTCTTCTCTACAATAAGTCAAAAAATTAGTCGGATGTAGTGGTTCACGTCTGTAGTTCCAGCTACTTGGAAGGCTGAAGTAGAAGGATCGCCTGAGCCCAGCAAAGCAGGTAGAGGCTGCTTTGACCGTGAGTGAGCATGCCACTGCACTCCAGCCTGGGTGATAGTGAGACTCCAACTCAAAAAAAAAAAAAAAAAGGACAGGAAATACTCCTCTGAAGGAAACTGAGAAGTTGTTAGAAAAGAAAGGGAAATAGCTAAGTAATCCTTTAGTGTTATTCTCAGTGTTTGTTTCTGTTTTTAATTCAACAGCATATTCTCAGCTATGACACAGTGGTGCAAACAACTGGAGACTCGTGGCACATCCCATATGATGAAGACCTGGTAGAAAGATACTCTTATGAAGTGCCAACCAAATGGCTTTGCCTCTACCAAAAAACATAAAGAATCTTCCCCCCATACTAAGTTTGTTTTGGGGTACCCTTCTGGTTGGCATTTAGAGCTCTTGATTCGATGTTTGTGTGGAGCATTGCTTCTGTCCTGAAGATAAAAGGATCCTGTTAACACTGCTTGGTCTAGTTAGTTTATGTCAGTAAGTTGATTTTCTAATTAAATGAGATAAAATATCTTTTTATAGCCTGTTATTTTTTCCTGTACACTTGTTCTGGAGGTTTATTCAGATCTACAACCCTTTATTTACTGTATGAGTTAATATTTTTTACATACTTTACATACTGTATAAGTTAATATTCAAGAACAGGCAAAACTAATCTATGCTGATAAAAATCAGAATAGTAGTTGTCTGAGGAAAGGGGCATGAGAGAACTTACTGGGGGTGATGGGAAGTTCTATATATTGATCTAGGTAATCGTAACAAAGGTGTATTATATATTAGTTACAATTCATCACATTGGGCCAGGCACAGTGGCTCATGCCTATAATCCCAATACTTTGGGAGGCCAAGGCGAGAGGATTGCCAGAGCTCAGGAGTTCAACACTAGCCTAAACAACATGGCAAGACTTCATCTCTACAATAAAGCAAAACCTTAGTTGAGTATTGTGGTGCATGCCTGTGGTTCCAGCTACTTGGAAGGCTGAGGTGGAAGGATCACCTGAGCCTAGCAGGTTGAGGCTGCAAGTGGCCATGAGTGTACCACTGCACTCCAGCCTGGGTGACAGAGTGAGACTCCAACTCAAAAAAAAAAAAAAAAAATCATCACACTAAACTAAAACTGATGCATTGGCTGGGCATGGTAGCTCAAGCCTGTAATCCCAGCACTTTGGGAGTCCGAGGCGAGAGGATTGCCTGAGCTCAGGGATTCAAGACCAGCCTGGGCAACTTGGTGAGACCTCGTCTCCACGATAAATCAAAAAATTAGCCAGGCATGGTGGCTCACACCAGTAGTTTCAGCTGCTTGGAAGACCAAGGCGAAAGGATCGCCTGAACCCAGCAGGTCGAGGCTGTGGTGACCATGAGCCTGCCACTGCATTCCAGCCTGGGTGACAGAGTGAGACTCCAACTCAAAAAAAAAAAAAAAA